ATAACTACTAATTCAGACTCACGCAAGAACTGAATCATGATGATTTTGGAGGCTAGAGATTTATAAGGCAAAATCATGTCTCTGAAGGCAAAACGGCACAGTAGGAAATATGGATGTAAATATGAGAGTAATATAACCCAAACCCAATTAAAAATAAAATCCTCTAGAAACTGCTGTTCCATTTGATGGTCAGGCTTTTCTCTTTTGAGATGTCTTCACAATCCTCCTCATTCTCTCCTAATGGTAAAATTATCAAAATATTTGAAGGTTATAAGACATCTATCTAGTCTCAAAGGACATGCTGCAATTCTCTTTATCTGCCCTAGTCCACAAAGACTCTGAGACGTGGTGGACTTAAATCACACAAGACAAGACACTTAAGGGAAAAAAAAGAAGGAACTGATGCCTTCAGTACCTATACTGAAGTAGATCAGAGCATTTGTGCCAAAAATTTGGCTTAAAACTTACTAGCACTAAAGTAAAAACAGGGAGGGAGACACATTACTTCTTGGTGGCCTGGTGTTTTTATTTTCAACTGCAGAAAACAAATGTATCTGCAAAAGAAACTTCTTTCCTAGATTACGATCAAGCAAATTTCTGCCACAAGGGTCCCATGAAAAATACAGAAATACTATAATTTCAGTGATGACAAAGAGCATGCATTAAACGCTAATACAGTGAAGGCATTTAGGAGATAGAAATGCTGTGGTACACACAGTTAGCTTTCTCATGGTCTAGGGATCAGTTCAAGGATTGGAAATATATTCTCCTCCTTAAATATTCAAATATGATATATCTCATCCTCAAACTCAAGGTGTATTACAGAGCTTTCAATAAATTTCATCGGGCACACAGTGAAACTGCATTCCAAGAACCTGTAGAAAAGATGTGCTATTGCTTGTTACATCAGCACTAGTGGCTTCAAACACCAGAAAGCCAGCAAAAGTGATACCCTACTATGGAAATTTATAGGGTAGGTTTTTTTTTTTTTTTTTGAGGAAGATCAGCCCTGAGCTAACTACTGCCAATCTTCCTCTTTTTGCTGAGGAAGACTGGCCCTGAGCTAACATCCATGCCCATCTTCCTCCATTTTATACATGGGACGCCTACCACAGCATGGCTTTTGCCAAGCAGTGCCAGGTCTGCACCCAGGATCCAAACTGGCAAACACCAGGCCACCAAGAAGCGGAACATGCAAACTTAACCTCTGTGCCACCAGGCTGGCCCTAGGGTAGGCTTTATTTTGCTTCTATAGAAGGCCAATTCACTGAGGCACATACAGAGAGGAAGGCTTGACTGCCTACAGTAGGAACAGATTCTTCGGAATTTTTAAATCATCTCAAGCTGTCATACTCAAGATTGATTAAGATTTCAGTATGTTGGCGTTCAAATTTTTCTGTACAGTCTTTCTTAAAGGAAGCATAAAATGACATTCATTTTGGCCTACCAACAAAGTATACTGTTAAATAGTATAATTCTTTGAATAAGATGAAGACTAACCATTTTAAACTAGTCAAACTAAAAGACCTTCATTTTTGTGAAAACACGCACTAAGGAGCTCCTTTTCTCAATCACTAAGCAAAAAAAGAGAAGAGGATAATATTTCAGTCATGATTTTCTGTTACTACAGTGTTTTCTGGCCTTGTCCTTTAAGACCAAGTAGATCTAAAATTACCTCCACATCAATTAACTGTTTCAAGTCATCCAGGTTAGGAAACAAGTTCCACACGTCCATGTCCAAAGTGGCACATATTACCAAAAAATGTACCAAGGCAGTATCAGCTGCTACAAATATGAAGGGGTGCAAGAAATTTAGTTTAATTATATATCCATTTAAAGCCACTGAGTTCTCAATAACTGTGTACCCATTACAATGCTAATATGTAAAAGATCAAATCTGGCTTATCCATATGCAGCTTAAGAGCTACAAAGAACAGACTTTTAAAAGAGGAGACACTATTAGACAGTATGATAAATAATGTGGTCACCTTAGCATAAAACAAGATAACATGACAGTCCGTGCCTGGAGAACTGAGCTCTTGGAAAGTAAAAACTTCTGATAATTACAGCTCTAACTAAAAGTTTATTTAATGGTATCAAAGCTCTAACATTAACATAGAATAGTATATAACACGTTAACACATCTGAGTAATTTGCAAAAGTCAGATTAATATGACAAAACTAAAACGGGAGTTTTAATTAAGATGCTCCATTAGCCTATTATTTGTTTTTGTTTCACAGCGACCTTTGTCAACAGCTGATTGATTTTGATGGAGCGTGCTAACTTCCAGAAGATCAAGACGTGCCTGGTTCATTTTTCTATTTTGAAATAAAACTAGTGATGATTAAAATTCTAAGCACTAACATCTCCTTGAAATTGGTCTGATATTGGGTATGTAGAGATAACTTATGCTTGAATAACTAATCCAATTATATTTACTAAAGAAGTCCTAGAAACAATGTTTAAACACTATTGAAACTGTTCAAACACTGATCTCATTTTGTCAATGACAAAGGACCCTTAAAAGGAAAATCTTATGGTTACAATTCCATATAATAGAATATCTAACATTATTATGCACTAACTATGCCAGACCCTGCTCTATGCACATTAATGCATTTACAACAGACCTAGGAGGAAAGTTCCAATGTTTTGTATCATTTCAAGATGATGTAACTGAGGCACAGAAAAGGCAAAAAAAAAAGAAAAAAATCCCAAGGCTGGGATTCAAATCTAAGCATTCTGGTTCCATAGTCCATACTCAACCACAATACTACACTGTATTTGTATAAAGTATTGATTCTGAAGCTGAAGAGCACTTAAATAAATAAAAACTACATCAAGATAAGGGAAAAACAAAGGCGTCAGGAATTAAAGTTAACACATTAACAGAAATGGCTCTAGGACAACTGATGAAGTAGTTGAGTTTGCCCTCAGAACTCTCACTTCTGTATTCTAACCTACTTTGCCCCACTTAGTGGCATTCCCCCTCCTTCCTTCATAGGCATCAAGTATCTTTAGCATCACTTAAAATAGCAAAAGACTAAATCTCAACCACAATTAATATACCTTAATAGGGGTCCCGTGGCCGAGTAGTTAAGTTCGTGAGCTCCACTTCAGTGGCCCGGGGTTTCGCCGGTTCGGATCCTGGGCACGGACATGGCACTGCTCAACAGGCCATGTTGAGGCAGCATCGCACATGCCACAACTAAAAGGACCCACAACTAAAATTTACAACTATGTACTGGGGGGATTTGGGGAGAAAAAGCAATTTAAAAAAATAGATATATATACACCTTAATAAATAAATGACCAAAAATAGTTTGATATTTCTGGAAGTATTCCTATTTTACCACATGAATAGATCCCTTAAGCTCAAAGAAAAATGTTATAAAAGTAAAATTTAAATATTGTCTAGGAAACTGAGCAACTATTTTAAAAGAAAACAGGGTCTTCCTGGTATCTACAGACAGAATGAGACAGATAAAGCACTATAATAAGATGTTAATTACAGAATCTAGGTGGTAGGTATATGTAAAATTAGAGAAATTCTTACAAAAGTCACATAAATATCATTTCTCTGCTCTAAACCATCCAATGGCCTTCCATCTCAGAATAAAATCCAAACTCCTGACCATTTCCTACAGGGGCCTACATGAACTTGCCCCTAACTTCTCATCTTGAACTACATGGCCTCCTTTATCTACCTCAAATATGTGTACATGGGACGACCTCAGAGATCTTGCACCTACCACTTTCCTGCCTGAGACACTCTCTCCACAGATATTAGATATCCCACAACTTAAAACTCCACTTCCTTCATCTCTTTGTTTAAACCTCCCCTTAAAAAAAGACTTCCTTGACCACCCTATGTAAAATAACAACTCTCTCCAGCTTCTCTGTATCCTGCATTATTTGTCTGTATAGCACTTATTACCATGTGACTTTACATGTTTGATACCATCTTTCTACCCCTGTTAAAATATAGGTTTTGTGAAAACAGGGCTTGTGTTTATTCACTGCTCTGTCCCTGGCTCTTAATACAATGCCTGGTACATAGCAGATATGCCATATGTGTTCACTGAATAAACAAACAAATGAATGAATGCCTTAACCCTACCTATGCATAAGGCCATCCAGGCTTACTAGCAATAATATATCTTGAAGACTTGAGATTCAAACAGCAACTATCTCATAAACCATTTGCATTATAGCTAGCATCTACAGCTTGCACTAGCAGGCACTAATATTCGTGAAATTACTCAGCTCCTCCAGCAGAGAATGTGAGAAAAGTACGTAGAAATACACTAAAGAAAGAATACAATGAAGAAAGCAAGTATTGATATTAAAAATAGATGTCTTAGATGTTACATAATTCACTCCACAAGATCTGCCAGTAAAAGTAAAAAATATTTCTTCCTACACTTAAAAGGTACCCATGAACATAAATTAATATTAAAAGTTTGAGCACTGTGAATTATGTAACTTTACTTTGGTCATGATGAAGTTCAGATCCAAATGTGCAACCCACATCCAATAACCATTCAGTGTCTTTGGAATTCATTTCTATATAACATACTCATGCTCTACCTGTTTGTTTTTAATCCCTATCCTTATTTTCCCTTTGTTTTGATTTCCTTATCTAGTTTTTTCACCTAGTATTTATTCAAGTATTCTTGTAAACCACTTGAATCCTTCCTGGAAGAAGTTTAGCACAGATTCATTAAGTCTAAAGATTACTATTAAAATGATTTCTGTTTCTGCTTAGAATATAGAAAGCTACAAAGAACATGGCATACACTCTAAAAGAAGAAAACACCAGATAATCTAAAACACCATAACTTTTCTAAAGCTCACCAGAGATTGCAAAGTTGCAAGAAAATCAAAGACATGAATTCCAAAACGGGGACAAGGCTCTCCAAAAAAGGACAGAACACAAACAGTAGATCACAAGAGAAAGAGGCAATTATAATACAGTAAGTATAAAGAAAATCTGCTAGTGCTTGCTTCAGCAGCACATTTACTAAAGTTGGAACAATACAGAGAAAATTAACATGACCACTATGCAATGACAACACACAAATTTGTGAATCTTCCATATTTTTTAAGAGTGATGGTGTTTAAGGGTACAAAATTGTAATGAGTAGTAAATAAGCCATAGAGATCTAACACACAGTATAATGAATATGCACAATATTGTACCACAATTATGTAATGTGATAAACATCACTACACCAGCAATCATATACAATATATAAATGTATCAAAGTAACACACTGTAACACCTTAAACTTGAGGCCGGCCCGGTGGCACAGCAGTTAAGTTCCCACGTTCCACCTCTCGGCTGCCGGGGGTTCACTGGTTCAGATCCCAGGTGCGGACATGGCATCGCTTGGCAGCCATGCTGTGGTAGGAGTCCCACATATAAAACAGAGGAAGAAGGGCACGGATGTTAGCTCAGGGTCAGGCTTCCTCAGCAAAAAGAGGAGGACTGGCAGTAGTTAGCTGAGGGCTAATCTTCCTCAAAAAAAAAAAAAAAAAAAACCTTAAACTTACAAGATGTTACACATCAAATTTATTCAACTTGAAAAAAAAGAAAATCTGCTGAATTTAATAAATGCCTAAAAGCTAAGTGTGGATTAGCATACCAGTTTCCCAACTGGGTGCCCCAGACACAATGGGAGTCTGCACTCACTTGCAAGCTCTTTTCTACAGGCCTCCATAGGGTGTTCATGAGAAAGACTGGGATCATGGCAAAAAACACAGAGTCCCACTCAGTGGTACGAGTGTGTGCAGGAGGTGATCAGCAACTGCTGATCCCATTTCTGGGAGCAGGCACAAAGCCCGACCTGATTCCCCAGATGTGTTTTTTCCAGGAAGCAAAGGTCTTAGGCCACTGGAGAAGGAGCAACAAACCCTTTCTCTCCGAGGACATTGTAAAACGTCTACTGTTGCCAGGATAGAGAGATAAGCAAATCCCTCTATCCCCGTAGAGAGGGGTAGAAAACTGTCTTGGGCCTAGGATCCCACACTGATACACCAAGCAGAAGTCTCCTAATGCTGAGCAAGGGGCAGGAAAACCTTTCCATGAACAACCACAAATACAAGGCAAACATGGGCTGACACAGAAAGGAGGAGAGAGAACAATGACAAAGCCCCATTTATGCGGCCCAGGTGGACAGGGTCTGCAAAAGACTGAGGCTGGGCCAGGATAACTGCCTCCACCAAAATCCTAACACCAAGTAGCAAGCAACAGCATTCTACTACTGGGGGTAACATTAGACACCACTACAAGAATTTGAAGCAGGTGGTGCACTGAAGGTAACGATAACAATAAAATCCCAAACTAGCTCAACTCATGACTAGTTTAACTCAACACTCCACATTAAGGGCCCAACAGAAGAAGGGGCGTGTCCATTTCCAAGCATAAATACTATTTACCTCAGTCTCTACTGTTGTTCTACAGACAAAGCTCAATACTTAATCAAAAATATGAGAAATGCACAAAAAAGAAAACACCTATAGCAAAGAGAAAAAAATCAATCAATACAAGTAGACTCAGGGATGACTCAGATGCTGGAACTATCTGACAGGGATTTTTAAAATTATTATGATTGGGGCCAGCCCAGTGGCGCAGCAGTTAAGTTTGCACATTCCACTTCAGCAGCCCGGGGTTCACCAGTTCAGATCCTGGGTGTGGACCTATGCACTGCTTGGCAGGCTTTGGGGGGGAAAGGAAAAAATAAAATTTAAAAAAAAAAAATCACCCATAGGTTTAAAAAAAAAAAAAAAAAAACATACAACATCAAAACCCAAGCTCTTTTTTATAAGCATTACAGAGAAATAAACTTCAAAACATCCTAAAAACAAGGTATTTACTGAAGAATGCAATCCACTTAAATTAGTTGAAAACGCATACTTAAGAATCTGTCCCCTGGTGCTAAAAATCAAAGTTCTTACTCTTCAATGTCTAAAGAGAAGCTGTGAAAATGAATTCATTAGGTACATGAATCACACTGACCTGAGTTCCTCAAGAGTGACCTCAAGGAAAATGAGGACCAGAGTGAAGAGCAAAAACTGCACAAATTCACTCTGCACAAAAGAAAGAATTCCTAAGGCCTTCCTTTCCCAAGCCAAGGAGATTTTTACATGGCTGAGAAGGTTCTGAATAGATCAAACCAAAGGGACTATAAATGGACCTTGACATCAAGGAGCCCTAAGAACTGACTGGGCATTCCCTCCTATCTAGAAGAACTTAAAGGTCAGTCCTAAAGAAGCTGTAAGAACTGTTACTCTTCTACTCAATATTCATATGTAAAAATCCCAAAGCCCTGGACATTTTACCCCAAGGATCTCCGCACTATATATGGTCAAGAATCACAGAACCAAGGCAGTCTCCTTGCCAGGACTTTATAACACAAACAAAATGTTATTTGAGGGTAAGACATGGCCGTAGAAACTGTCCTAAACTGCCCCCACTTAAAAGTAACCACTTTAGCCAAACTGCAGCCTTGGTGATTTACAGTTCTGTTCTACAGATTTTCACAAGAGAAATAAAGTTAATCGCATCACAAATGAATGAAGACCTACCACTTTCTATACAAGGTTCAGCTAAAGCAGAAAAACACTAGTGCTGACCCCAAACACTTAAAAATAACAGGTAACAGCCAAGTGGTTCCATATACCTTGGTGATGTTGGAACAAGGATTGACTCAAGTTCACTGCCCGTGTACAATATAAGAGAATATTTGACACCAGACTTCTTTTAACAGAAGAGCACCCCCAATGTGATCCCCCCCAGCCTGGATTAGGTAAGAACCGGTGTCTATGCTCCTGTAGAGCCCTGTGCTTTTCTTTAATACAGCAACTATCACACTGCATTACATTTATCTCTTTAACTATCTGTCTTTCTCCCTCACTATACTGCCAGATCCTAGTATCTCCGGCCTCCAACACAATGCTGGGCATATCACTGAGTGCTCAAAAAAATATGTGCTGGTCGAATGAATAATCTGGAGCTATGCTGTCCAACATGGCACCTACTAGCCATGTGTAGCTATTTAAATACAAATTTAATTAAAATTAAAATTTAAAAATTTAGTTCCTCAATCACACTCACCACATTTCAAGTGCTCATCACCACATATGGCTAGCGGCTGCCACATTCAACAGAGCAGACACAGACTGTTTTCATCATCACAGGAAGTTCTACTGGACACTGAGCATCTGAGGTGTTCCCTGATTCTGGAGGCGCCTGAATAGCCTACTAATTCATACTTTTTCTACCAGGATTATTATTCTGAGAGAGGAAAGGTAGGAAGAAAAATGCTAAAATGTGCACCAATCCCAACAATAAACAATACCAAGGAAAGGAGTTCTTCTGCAAGACTGTCTCTAATATCAACTATATTTCAAACTTTTTTTTTCTTCTTTCTGCTTTTTCTCCCCAAATCCCACCAGTACATAGTGGTATATTTTAGTTGTGGGTGTTTCTAGTTGTGGCACGTGGAACGCCGCCTCAACGTTGCCTGATGAGTAGTGCCATGTCCACGCCCAGGATCCGAACCAGCGAAACCCTAGGCTGCTGCAGCGGAGTGCGAACTTAACCACTCGGCCATGGGGCCGGTCCCCTCAAACTTTTCTGATAATTCTTTATTGCTAAGGTTTTCTCCCACATAATTCCCTATTGTGCCTAAAAGAAAGCCCTAATAACAAAAGGGCTGCTGCCTATTTTTAAGAAGATGAAAAGTTTATGGAACTATTTCTGCTCTAATCATAGGCTAACAAAATTAAAAGGTCAAAAAGGACTTGGTCTTAATTTAGTCTAATTAATCAAGTTTACAGAAGAGACTGAGCACAGAGAAGTAAAATAGCCCAAGAGAGAAGAACAGACCAAGCAGGTAAGGGAAAAGAAAAACAGCTGCACAGAAAACCAGGAAAGTTTTACGTTTTTCACAGAATTATGGCATATTATCCAAAATATCAAAATAGTCTACATTTAAAAGGGAATGATAAGCACCAGGAAAAGGTCAAGAAACTCTCCAAAGTTAGACACCAAAACTTTGTCTTGTGTAAAGACGCTAAGTTTTTCCTTACAAACCCTAATACGTTACTTAAATGCTTCATCGGCAGTTTACTCTTTCTTTCCATAACATAATCACATACGTTATTCCCATAGTCAGGATCTATTTATTTCTACTAGTAAGAATAGATTTCAATTAAGCCACAAATATAGGTAACTAAAACTGAAAGCAGAAATATTTACTAATTGTTTTCAATGGAAATATAATTCCAATGACAAGGTTAGAACATAAACATTGAAAGTGAAACTACAGGGAGAAAAATAATTCGCTTCTCTAATAAAAATAAAATCACTCCTGCTATCCTGAAAATGTTTACTTGAATGAAAACCAATGGAGGAGTGTTCCTACTTCTTAAGAGATTTTCATCTTCATGACTTATAAATAAAAATATAGAATGAAAAGGACAGTTTTAAGTCCTTATTATTACTTCACCACGAGCAAAAGCAAATTCAATCCTAAGATATTATTAAAACACAGAAAGACTGACAAATATATTGCTTTGACATAATACTTGCATAGCTTGAGGTGTCCTCAGCCTCAAATTCCTAGGTAAATGATGAATTTTGTTTTTCAAAGGGCAGAAATCCCTCCTTTAAGATTTTATATAACTAGCTTCTTCTATCTAAAGATACAAGAAAGCTTTTAAATGTGCTCCACTAGGAAAACAAAAATACCAAATCCAGAGCTGAATCTTCTTTCAATGAACTATGTCAAATGATACAAGAACTTTTATGATAATACAAAAAGGGAAAGGAAACAAATTAACGGTAGCACCATAAAAATATTTCCTTTTCCTATATATATTTTTATCTTCCATCATGTTTATTTCTATAATTCATTCCAATACTCATATCTACTCAGCCATATTAAATAATGGAAAACTCTATTTCAAAAATATTAACATAAAAATTCAAACAGCCAGCCCTGTGGCTGAGTGGTTGGGTTCGCGCTCCACTTTGGTGGCCCAGGGTTTCACCAGTTCAGATCCTGGGCGCGGACATGGCACCGCTCATCAGGCCATGT